TCTGGCGAGCTGTTCCCAGGGGCCCCGGCGGGCGGCCTGGGCGGGCCCAGCCCACACAGCCAGGAGATGCACGGTGACCTTCTCGGAGAAGCGCACCTGGGGACAGACAGACACAGGGCTTCACATACATGGTTCATAGGGACACGGGGACCGTCCCTGAAAGCGCGGGGTGTGTGTGTGTTTGTGTGTGTGTGTGAGAAATTAGCTACAAAACACTTGCTGTGTGGCCACTCACTGCCGACTACAGGTGTCTGACTCACCTGGGGCAGGCGGGGTATCGGGGACGCCCCAAGCCACACCTCCCTCTCCACCCACAGGGGCCCAGCCCCTTGCAGAGGATTGCAGGACTGAGACCGCAACCCCGGGAGAAGGCGATGCAATCCTTTGTAACTCACGGGGGACACAGGAGTCCCGCCTGCTCCAGAACCTGCGCTCTACCCGTCTATATTCAGGGCAATTCCACCAAAGTAAACAAAACGAATCTGTGCCCACAACAGCACCCACCTTTCTATCCTTCAGGGGAGTTTCAGGGTCCCGATCCTGGGTGAGGGTCTCTGACAACTGGAGCCTCCTCTGCAGTCTAAGGGGCAGCTTAGGAGCAGGCCAGGGAGCCGGGGGCTTCTGTCCAGGGACATAGATGGCCACAGCGAGAGGGCCGGGCTCAGCTCCAGCCCAGACCTCAGCAGCCTGCTCTTCCCTTGTCTCTCCTGCCGGTGGCGCTGTCCAGGCCCTCTGCGGGGCACCCGGGAGCTGAAGGGAGGGGCGTGGGCCCCAGTCAGCTTCTCTGTCCTCAGCTGCTCCCGAATCATTTCCTGCGTCCTGGTTCTCCTCCCAATCATCCTCTGTGTCCTCTCCAGGCCGGTATACCCAGGCCCTGAGGAAGGGGCTGGTGGTGGAGGAAGCCTCAGCTTCTCCTTCTTCTGCTGATCCTGAATCTCTGTCCTCATCCTCCTCTTCCTCTTCTTCCTCAGTGTCCTCTCCAGGCTGATAAACCCAGGCCCTCAGGAAAGGATTGGTGGAGGAAGCCTCACCTTCTCCCTCTTCTGCTGATCCTGAATCTCTGTCCTCATCTTCCTCCTCTTCTTCCTCAGTGTCCTCTCCAGGTCGATAAACCCAGGCCCTGAGGAAGGGGCTGGTGGTGGAGGAAGCCTCAGCTTCTCCCTCTTCTGCTGATTCTGAATCTCCGTCCTCATCTTCTGGCTCCTCCTCCTCCTCTTCCTCTGTGGCCTCTCCAGGCCGATACGCCCAGGCTTTTAGAAAGGCATTTGTGGTAGGGGTAGAAGAACCCTCAGCTTCTTTCTCCTTCTCGGCTGATTCGGAATCCCAGGCCTCATCTGCCCCCTCCTCTTCCTCTGCGTTCTCTCTGGGTTGACCCTCACAGGGCCCGAACAGGAGCCCTTGGGTGGGAACTGAGGACCGTGGTTCCGGGTCAGCTTCTCCTTTCTTGGCTGCTTCTTTGGCCTTTGATCCCTTCTCCGCTGCTCCTTCTGAGTGACTCTGCCAGGTCCTGGGGCAGGAGCCTGACCTCCAGGGGGTGTTGGGGGCCTCCCCAGCTTCTTTATTTTCTGTTCCTTTGTCCTCCGTGGCTCGCTCCTCTTCCTCCCCTGGGCAACACAGCCAAGTGCTGGGCTTGGGCCTTGGGGCCAAAGAGGAAGCAGAGGTGGCAGCAGCTTCTTTGTTGACAGCTTCTCCATCCTCCTCATCCTCCCTGGAGGGAACACCCTGGCGCTGTGATGCAAGATAAGATGCCTTGGGAGATCTCTCCTCTTCAGCAGGTTTCCTTCCTTCAGCCTGCTCCTCTCTGGGGCTCTTATCAGTACCTGGCAGGGCACTTAGCAGCGGGCTGGCGGACAGGGGCGCAGGCTGGCTGTGCGTGAATTTCCTTGGTGGCTGCCCGTCTGCTTCTTCCTTGATATTCTCCACATCCTCACCACAGGAAGGTCCCCAGGCTTCAGGAACAGAACTGCTGGCTTTCAGTTCGAGGCTGGGCCCTGCTGCCGCCTCTCCATCCCCCTCAGCGGCTCTGCTGTCTTCCTCCACTCCAGTTTCTATCTCATCTGCTACCGTTCCGGCTTCAAGCAGCCGGGGAAGTTGGGATCCTGGCCCCCTCAGGAGGCTCCAGGCCCGGCTTAGGAAGCCCATCAGCGGGGACAGTAGGTATGGAGTGTGGGCATCCTGCCAGGGCCCGGTGTGATGAGGAGCTTGGCCTGGGGCCATCTGTCTGGGCTGGGAAAGAGGGAGAAAAATAAATAAAGTTTAAGAGCCATTTTGAGAATGGCATCAGGGCATGACCCTGAGTCACAGCCAGGAAAATAGCAACACGATTATGAATGTGAGTAACCCCGCCCCAAATTCCTTCGTAATCCCGGCACACACATTCCTATCACTCACTTCCTTCACTCCTGAAACCCAGGATCTGAGTCCCCAGTTCTCTCTTTTAGATCCAAAGTCCCTGCCTTTGCCCCCTCCTTCCTCAGAAGGTAGTTCCAGCCCTAAGAAAAAAGGCATTTCACTTATTTTCCTTGGGGACCAAGTCACAGTCTCCATCTCTCTAATCTCTGAGGACAGAACAGGCTTCCAACACCTCCCTTTCCTGGTCACGGAAAACATTTTGACCCCAGGAGGATTCCTATTCTAGGGAACCAGGAGTCACGGCTGCCACACCGCTTCCCCGCCCCAGCCTTAGGGGCCCCATCCTGCCCTGCCTGAATCCGGGTTCTCACACCATTCTCGAACTGCAGAGTCCGCCGCTTCTCGACCCTCTGCAGACCTTGCAGTACAGGCTCCCAGGCCCTCCTTCCCCGCCTCCAGACCTGGCCCATAGCCCTCCGGACTCGGAACTACAAGTCTCCTCCTCTTTAGGGACCCGGAGTCCTGGCCTCCAGCCCCAGTCCCTTGTGGGTCTCCTTCGGGCTCGGATCCCTTCACTCACCGGCAGGGCTGCGTGTCACCCCGGAGGCAGGAGCGCGGGCTCGGGTTGCCAAAAGTGATCGCAGTTCCAATGGGATCGGGAGACAGGCGCGCTCATCTCGCCTCAGGCGTTGATCTGGTGGGCTTCAAGGAGCACGGCTGCCGCAGGCGCTGTCGCGACAAACGCACGTAGGGTCGCTTGGCGTCTCACATGTAAAGATCCACAAGGCTGCGACTCAATCGGGTTAGCAGTGACGCAGTCTGCCCGGTATTTATAGTCCCGCTCACCTGACGCGCTGACGTCACGACGAGAGGCGGGGTTTTGAAACGTCAATGGGTGGGGCTGGGAAAAACCCCAGGCTTTTAGTGGACATTCCGGGCTGTGTGACGTCACGGAGGTATTTTTTTTTTTTTTGAAAGTGGTCAGGCCCCAAAATAGCAAGCTGTCAATCAATAGTTTTCCCTGTATGGGTGGCTATTGGGCCCTTTAATTCTATTCTGGTCCGAAGTCATTCCACCCCGATTTATTTATTTTGAGACAGGGTCTCACTGTGTAGTTCAAACTGGCCTTGAACTTACTGTGGAGTCCAGGCTGGCTTCGAACTCATAATGAACCTCCTACCTCAGCCTCCTGAGTGCCTCGAGGACAGAGGTGCGCCACCACGCCCCTCCCACCCCAAGGTAAGCAGCCGATCCTAGTCTAGATTGTCCCACCTTCTCACGTGATTGACTTCCTTTCAGAGTTGGAGGTAGGACATTTCTCGCATTCACAGATGAGGACAACTGAGTGTTGGCAGCGAAGGCAATTATTCCAGGTGGTATGAAGCAGGGGTTTTTTTGTTTTGTTTTGTTTTGGTACCGGGGATTGAACTCAGGACCTTGCGCTTTTGAGGCAGGTGGCTGGCGACATCACTGAGCTAAATCGCCCACCCACTTTGGAGACAGGATCTTGCTTAGGTAGTTCAGGATGGTCTTGAACTCACTATATAATCCAGGCTGAATTTGAACACACAGCAATCCTCCTACCTCAGCCTCTGGAGTGCTGGGATTACAGGCGCGCCTCCCAGGGGACCTGGACCGACCCTCCCCAGCCTCATCCAATCAGAGCTGCGCTTCCACACCTGGCTCAGCAGTCCTGACTCCTAGCTCCCACCCCACAAGTCCCAGGCCAGACCCACGGAGACCCAGCGACAGGCAGTTGGGCCCCAGCCCCTCCCCTGAGCTGTGGGGGCAGCAGTGCCAGGGGTCAGGCTGTGGTGGAGAAGCCAGCAGGGGCGGGGACAGCCAGGATTGGGAGGGGAGACACAGCGTGGGAGGGTGGCAGAGGAAGGGAAAGACCAGCAGAGAGGAAAGAGAAACGGGAACTGGAGGAAGAGAGAACGTGAGGAGGAGAAGAATGGAGACCGGAAAGAGAGAGGGGAGGGAATAAGAGAGAAAGAGTGAGGAAGAGATTGAGTGAGAGTATCAGAGACTGCAAAGAGAGAGAGAGAGAGAGAGAGAGAGGGAAGGCATGAGAGACACTCAGGAAGTGACTCTACGTCAGAGAAAAAGCTGTGGACTGAGGAAAGATTGGAAAGAGCCAGACTGGGAAGAGACAATCTAAAAGAAAAGTTAAAAAGAGAGGAAGAGAGAACACAAGACAGTAGACAAAGTGGTAAGAGGGCGAAGGAGTGATCAGGTAGGTGAGGACAGACCAGAACTATGAGGCCCAGCGCTTGAGAGACCAAGGAGGGGAGACTGCAGCTGACGCCTGATCCACACCTCCTCTCCCTGTCACTGGGACCCCAGAGTTGGGTAAGTTGCCTGCCTGGGCTGGGAGGGGAATTAGGGTGCACATTCTTGAGCCTTGGGGTAGGCTTAGGGCATTGGCAGGGATGTTTGGGGGTGCGCGTGGGAGGGCAGGAGACAGGTAGCCTGGGGCAGCAGGAAGGGGGCAGGGCATAGGGGCCCCTGAGCACAGCAAGGGTCACATTCCTGGCGGGAACCCAGAGGGCAGGAAGAAAGGAGCCCCTATTCCCGGCCGGGCGCAGACAGCTGCCCCCTCCCCACAGCTGCCAGTGCCGCCCACCTCTCTTGGCATTGCCCTTGGTATGTGGTCTGGGCCACGGCCTCCCCCAGCCCCAGCCCCAGCCCCAGACAACAGGCTCTTTTTCCTCAGCCTCCTCTGAGCCCTGACTGGGTCTCCAACCCCAGCCGGGTCAGCCTCAGAGCCTCAGCTCCTTTCTGTGTCCCCAGGGCTGGATGGAGGAGGGCCGACCGCGGAGCAGCCTCAGCCTGGCCAGCAGCGCCTCCACCCTCTCCTCGCTCAGTGCCCTGAGCGCCAAGGTGCGGGCTTCCTGGTGGTTGTGGGGAGGACGCCCAGCTCTGGGCCACTGTCTCTGTCCCCCAGCTTTGTGCCATCGAGGGCCTCGGGTTGATAAGGATCGGGATCCCCAGAATGGGCTCAGCAGCGGCTGCTGGGAATCTGCAGCCGCTCCCAGCTGGGTCTCCACCCCTCCCACGTTCCTAATTCTCAGCCAGAGTAACGACCTCCCTTGACCTTGGCCGCTGACCGAGCTGCCACTCCCCAGCCGAGGCCCCCTTGTTACTGAGAGGTGTGGGTACCTTGGTAAGGACTGGGGACATCCTGTCCTGTCTCTGACCCTCTCCTCTGTCCAGTCAGGAAAGACTCCTCTTGACAGCGAGGCCCTTTGTGATGCCTGAGGTACTTTCGTCTCCACGCCACCCTGGCCCCACGTTCAGCGAGGAAAGCCATCTTCTCGTGCTCTTGCCACTTGCAGCTTCCCACCGGGCATTCCACCCCAGGGCGACCTTAGTCCAGGAGCAGCACCCGCACCTGAGCCGAGGGAGGGATTTGAAGCCCCGCTTTGGCCATGCTTGCTGGGGGTGCTACCGCCCAGCACTGAGCTACTGCGAGCTCAGCGTGGACCCATCCTGCTGACCGGACCTCTCAGCTGACAGTCCCAGTTCAGATCCCTAAGGCTCTACCTCTCCCTGGCTCTTGTGGTCCAAGGTGCCTTCCTCATCGTTCCCAGAGTCCTCCCCTCCTAGTTTGGCCTCGAACCCCTTCCTCCATCACCCAGCAGTCGCTCTACTCTGCACCGTGAATGGGCCGCAGTGCTGGACTCAGCCCTCCTTGCCTGGCTCATGGGCTCCTCCAGCCGGCACCTCTCGCTCGCTTCGGTGCCGCTCACTTCAGTCCCTTCTCTCTGCAGAAGCCCGCCCGGGCAGTGAACAAGGTCCACGCCTTCGGGAAGAGGGGCAACGCCCTCCGAAGGGACCCCAACCTGCCCGTGCACATCCGAGGCTGGCTTCACAAGCAGGTGAGGTGAACTGGAAACGGAAGGACGCTGGAGGCTGTGCCCCCGGCTGTCCACTTCTGTCTCCTTCCAGCGTCCCATGCATGTTTCTTTTCTGCTATCCTTGCCTCTCCCCTTCTTCTGTCATTGTTTCATTCATCCATTCAGTACTATTTCTTGAATACTAATTAAGGCCACATGTCATAAAAGTATCTATATTATATTCATGGGCCAGGGATGTAGCTCAGTGGTGCCACCGCCTACCTCGCAAGGAGAAGGCTCCAAGTTCGGTCCTCAGTACCAAAACCAAAAACTATATTACATTCAAGGTTATCACGAGGGCGGGGATAGCTAGGTGTGGTGGGTCACTCTTGTAATCCTAGCATTCAGGAGGCTGAGGCAGGAGGACTGCCGTGAATTTGAGGCCAGCTCTGTAATGAGCTCTGTGCCACCCTGAACTACACAGCCAGATTTGAAAGCCCAATAGTCCCGCAGGAGCCAAAATCCTCATCTAGAGCAAGCCAAGGAGAGAGAAATTGGAGAGCTGACAAGACACTGGTTCTTAAACCTAGGCATCTGAGACAAGCAGCAACAGCGTCCCTGCGGAACTCAGTAGAAATGCAAATGTGGGGCCTCACCCCAGCTCTACCAATCCGGAAACCCCGGGGAGAAGCCCAGGAATCTGTGGTTTGTTTGTCCCTTTATTTAGACAGAGTCACCACGTGTATGCTGGCCGGCCTTGAATTCACTCTGTAGTCCGGGCTGGCCTCAAACTCTAGGTGATCCTTCTGCCTCAGCTGCCACCATGCCTCCTGGCCCCTTGTTTGGTTTTTGAGACCAGGTGTCACTGTGTATCAGGATGGCCTGGGACTCACCCTGCAGAATCTATGTCACTCAGCCACAACGCACTCACTTCCGGCTCTCTGTCTGGTCTGTTGGATCAAACATTCCTCCGCCTCCCTTCTCCCTAGGTCTCGTCGGCCCTGTGACACTGTTCTCCCAGATTTCTATCCCTCGTTTCCATGCCTCTCTCCCCTCTCTACAGGTCTCTTCTCCTCCCCCTGTGCCTGCCCACTTTCTCCTCTCCTTCTACTCAGGCCTTCCTCCCACTTCTTTCCCCAGGACAGCTCTGGGCTCCGGCTCTGGAAGCGCCGCTGGTTCGTCCTCTCTGGCCATTGCCTCTTCTATTACAAGGGTCAGTGCCCCGGCTGGATGGGGTGGGAAGGCACGGTCCCCGGCCACACTGCCCTCTGCCTCCTGGTCTCCCCATACCTTCGTGATCCCTGACAGCAGCTCCCTTAGCAGACAGCCGCGAGGAGAGCGTGCTAGGCAGCGTCCTGATCCCCAGCTACAACGTCCGGCCAGATGGGCCTGGAGCCCCCCGGGGGAGGCGCTTCACCTTCACCGTGAGTCCCTCTACATTGGAGAGCTCCTTACTGGGGCTAAAAGGTCTTGGCCAGAGACCACGTCCGGCATCCTGTTTAGAGCGCCCTCCCTCCCGCAGGCAGAGCACCCGGGCATGAGGACCTATGTCCTGGCGGCTGACACCTTGGAGGATCTGCGGGGCTGGCTGCGGGCATTGGGCCGGGCCTCCCGCGCGGAGGGTGACGATTGGTGAGTAAAAGTCGGGGCACGCCCCTGACTTGGTGAGCGGAATCATCCCAAACTTCTCCACCGTGAGCGCTGGCTGTCCAATCACTGATCTTCTAGCCAAGGAACGTCCCCCTTTCAGGCTCCGCCTCAGAAAACTTCAGTTCTTCCAATCACAAAGTCTTTCGCTTTAAGCTCCGCCCGCCATCCTGTCTAGCCTCGTGCAACTAATCTGACAGACTTTCGGGCCCAAGGATCATCCATGTGTCACACGCTCTGGGTGCTTCAGAAATCTGCATCCCTTGAGGCTGACCCCTTAGCAATAGCAGCCGAAAGATCAGATTTTTAAAAAAATGTCAGACTGGGCTGGGGATTTAGCTCAGTGGTTCCACCGCCTGTCTCACAAGTGTGGTTCGATTCCCCCCGCCAAAAAAGTCAGACTGTCTCAGGTTCGGTCCCTGCCTTCTCCAGTGTTCAGTCTGGAGACTGTACTCCCTGGTTCAGTCTTTCTCATAAGTCCAGGAGATTTGATGGACGTGGTGGCCCTGTACAAGTTACTTCCACATTCGTGGCCTCAGTTTCCAGATCTGCGAATAGGGTGCAACAAAGCATAGTGTACAATTTCCCCTTTGGGGGTAGGTTGCTCTGTCTGCATATGTGAAGAGACTAGGGCTGTTATGAGGGTCAGAGGAGTGATGTCTCTTTCTGCGCTCACTCTTAGTGGGCCACCCAGGTCACCCCCTCGCCTCCAGCCTGAGGAGGGCCCTGGTGGCCCCGGGGGTCCTCCGGAGGTGAGCAGAGGGGAAGAGGGGCACATCTCAGAATCCACAGAAGTGGCTGGGTTCTCCAGAGGTCGTGGCCGACCCGGGCTGTTGACTCCCAGCCCCACCGCAGACCTCCAGTCTGGAACCAGGGGTCGAAGGACCAGGAGCCCCGAGTGAGTTGGACCCAGGGGTGTTGGGGGCGTGGCCTAAGGGAGGGCGGGGCTTAGCATTTTCTGCTTTACCGCAAGATAGTTGCTGGGGTTCCTGTGGGGTCACAGCCTATCTGGGAGTTCTAAAGAGATCCCACGAAGGAGACATTAGTCAGGATCTGCCCAGCAGAGGCACATTCTACTCCACAGCGACAGTGAGAACCCTGAAGAGAGATGCCCTGGGACATGACGTGAAGGGCAGAGAGGTGGACGGGGACAGCTCTAGTTAACTCCGTTCCCCGATTCTCTCCTTCCCACAGCCTGTTCGCATCCCTCTCTCACCCGCCCTCCCCACTGAGCCTTCCCCGTCCCCGATCTGCTCCTGCTCGGCGACTGTCACCCTCCTCAGGAGACAGAGCGTTCCCTGCCCGACCTCACACCCCCTTGAGTCGCATTGATGTCCGGCCTCCTCTTGATTGGGGGCCCCAGCGACAGACCCTTTCCCGGCCCCCCACACCCAGCCGTGGACCCTCCGCTGAAGCTGGCGGAGGACGGCGTCCCAGAAGCCCCCCAAACTGGAGTCAGGAACCCAGAACACAGGTGAGCAGAGGGGGTTGTAAGACTACATTTCCCATGAGCCATAGGGACTATCTTTCCAGAATGATCTCGCTGTTTTCCCTAAGCCTCATGGGGATTGTAGTCCATAATCACCCAAGCTCAGCGGTTGGAGAAAGGAGCGTGAACTATCTGGCCTGGTCCTGGCCTTTGCTCCGTAAACATCATGGGTTTTGTAGTCCAAATATTGCAGGGACAGGTGCTGTTTCTTCTGCCTTGGGTCCCCAATTTATCATGCTATTTTCTCTGGCATTCTGGATTTATAGCCCAGAATATCCACAGGTAACTCTCATCAGTTTGTGGACTGCTTTGCCAAGCTAGACCATTTACAAGCTAGACATACTCTGAGGGTAGTTGAGGAAATTGAGGATCTCAGTTCTGAGCCTCAGCGTCTCCTAAGCCTTTCTATTCTGAGCACACCGGTGCACTGTGACATCTGATACTAGGATGAACCAATTCCTAAACATCTCTAATTCATTATTCCTCCCAGGCTCCCTCCGGCTCTTCCACTTATCTCCAGCTCCCCCCAAGGCCCCCTGGCACCCGGGCCTCCATGGTTTTATTGGTAGGTATTCTGCCACACAGAATATATCAGAGCCTCCTCCCTTGCTTTCCTTGCTATGAGAAATGTTATTTCCTGGCCTAGGAGCTTCAGAAAACTAGGGATTCTGTGCTCCTCAAGTAGGTGGTTGTGTTTGTTTCCTGTGGCTGCTGAGACAAAGCACCACAAACTGGGTGATTTAAAATGACTGCAGTTTGTTTTACCACCCTCTGGCTGCAGAAGTCTGAAGTTGAGGTGGCAGCCTGTCCGAGGCCATGCTCCCTCTGAGGGCTCTGGGAGAGGACCTGTCTGAGCTCCTCTCCTTCGTCTGGGTGTTGGCAAAACCCTTGCTGCTCTGTGGCAAGCATCATCCATCCCTGGTCCCTGCCTCTATGATCATGTGACCCTCTTCCTTTTTTTATCTGTGTCTCTGGGTTCTGGGGATGCCTTCTAGAGTCTAGGATCTTCTTGTCCTGAACAAAACAAGCACAAAATGTAGTGAGGTTTTACATTTGTTAAAAGTAGGAAGCCAGGCATGGTGGCTCAAGCCTGTAACCTCAGCACTTAGGAGACTCAGTGGTGCCGCCACCTGCCTCACAAGCACAAGGACCCAGATTTGATCCCCTTACCAAAAAAAAAACAAACAAAAATTATTCAAAGTAGGAAAAGAAACATGCTCCACAGGGTGAGTTAGGACCAACTAAAAGTAGAAAAAGAAGTATACTGCACAGGGTGAGAGCAGACCACAGCGCAGGAGCGTGTGTGTGGCCAAGAGTGCAGTGCTGGCCATTTTTGTGTCTTCCACCCCTCAGGCTGACCTCAGGTCCAGGTTGACCCATCAGCAACCTGTTGGAGTTCTCAAGAGAAGAACCGCCAGGTGCAGGGCTTGGGAACCTGTACTAGTCATACCCACTCGCCCAGCCAACTGGCCACACCCTAATCTCCCACCTCATCTGTCTCCTTGTGTAACATTTCACTGTGATTTATGTCATAGGACAAAATTAACAAATCACTTTAACAAACTTAGATGCTTTATTTTTTGTTTTTGTTTTTTTGGTACTGGGGATTGAACTCGGGACCCTGATCTTTTGAGACAGGCAGCAGAGTCAAAATCCCTGACCCTTAGGCACCTTATTCTTGAACCTAGAATTAGACAACACTTTAGTCGACAAAATAGAGTTACATGCTGGGCGTGGCAGCACACACATCTAAAGCGTGCTTTAGATCCCAGCACTCTAAACGCTGAGGCAGGAGGAGGATTGCTGTGAGTTGAAGTCCATCCTGTGCTACATAGTGAGATCTAGACCAGCCTAAGTACATAGTAAGACCTTGTCTCAAAAAAAGGGGCGGGGCTGGGATTTAGCTCAGTGGTGCTGCTATCTGCCTCGTAAGTGCAAAGTACTGAGTTCGATCCCTTGTACAAAAGAAAAGAGAGGGGTTAGGGATTTAGTTCAGTCCTGGCAAGTGCAAGGTCCTGAGTTAGATTCCTGGTACAAAAAAGAAGAAGAAAGATATTAGTTTGTTTTAGAAATGTAGCTCTTAAAGCCAGGCGTGGTGGTGCACGCCTATAATCCTAGCACTCAGGCAGCTTAGGCAGGAGGATCACTGTGAGTTCGAGACCAGCCTGGGCTACATAGTGAGTTCCAGGTCAGTCTCAACTACATAGTGGGACCCTGTCTCAAAACAACAACAACAAAAAGAAATGTAGCTTTTATCTCTGTGATCCAGATTTCTCAGGTCAGATAAACAGCTTATTACCTCCAGCTTCAAAATGTGGAACTTTCATTTTAGCGGGGCTGCTGGTGCCCAGGGCAGGCACCTATTTCCAAATAATGGCCTCCTGTAATTTTCTTGTAAGTTTTTTATTAGTATATATTTGTGATACACAATAAATACATTCATTGCAGGCTGGGGATTTAGCTCAGTGGTTCTGCCACCTGCTTTGCAAGTGCAAGATCCCCCAATGTAAATCCCCTGGTAACAACAACAAAATTACATTCATTGTGAGCTACATGTAACTTTATTTTTTTGGTACTAGGCATTGAACTCAGGACCTTGAGCTTGCAAGGCAGGTGTGGGGCCTTTGAGCTAAATCTCCAGCTCCACCTGTAACTTTTATTTAATACTTACACCTGCAAACATCCTATTTCCAAATGAGGTCCCATTGTCAGGTATCAGGGCAGGGACTTGGACATATCTTTTTGGAGCACTTGAGTTAACCCTCAAAGAAGCTCAAGGCTTTTCAGGGTGGGGCGTTTCTTAGCAATGAGGCCCCTTCTGTGCCCTTCAGGAGTTTCTTGAGATAAGCGGGGGAGAAGGCTCCTGTCCTCAGAAAGAAGATCCTGCCAGAGGAGGTGACGTACACCTGTAGTCCCAGCACTTGGAGGCTGAGGCAAGAAGACCACTGTAACTTGGAGGCCAGCCTGGGCTACATAGTGAGCTCAAGGCAAGACCCTGTCTAAAGTCTGTCTGTTAATTATATTTGCTATGGACTTTTTTTTTTTTCTTTGAAGCAGAGTCTCACTGTGTAGTTCAAATTGGCCTTGTACTCATTATGTAGCCCAGGCTAGCCTTGAACTCATAGAGATCCTCCTGCTGCAGCCTCCAGAGTGCTGGGATTATAGGTGGGCACCAAGACACCAGGCCTCTCAGTTGCTCTTATCTTGGCTCGAAGCAGAGTTGAAAGTTTATGGTACTCTAGGAAGACAGATGCAGTCTGAAAACAGTAGTTGAGCTGTTTTCCTGGGTTTCACTCACTGCCCGTCAGACATCTGCAGGCCCAAGGAAACTGTTTTTGGCACCGAGCTTCCTTAAGGACCTGCCTGGCCCCTGTGACCCCTGACTTTTCTCCTTCTAGCCAGGTCCTCCCCTGGACTCAACCTTCCACCAAAGCTTGGAGACAGATGTAAGTTCCCAGATGCAGCCCCTCCTGGGGTCCCAGAGCTGGGGAGAGGGCGTTCTAGATGGCGTGGAGAGGGGAGGACCCAGAGGGTCTCTGAACGGTTCCTCCTCTCCTTTCTGCAGAGCCTACTGACCAAGTTGTGCGGGCAGGACCGGCTCCTGAGGAGGCTGCAGGAGGACATCGACCAGAGGCAGGAGGAGAAGGTGCTGGGCAGGGAGGATGGAGAGCCCGGCTGCTTTCCCAGCTGGCTGTGGCTCCGGAAGTCTGATCTCCTCCCCTCTCCTGCAGGTGCAGCTGGAAGCCGCCCTGGAGCTGACCCGGCAGCAGCTGGGCCAGGCCACCAGGGAGGCTGCGGCTCCGGGCAGGGCCTGGGGTCGCCAGCGCCTCCTGCAGGACCGTCTGGTCAGCGTGAGGGCTGCCCTGTGTCACCTGACTCAGGTGAGCCGCTGAGGGGTCTCACAGGATGGGGTGCAGGAACCTTGGTCTTCTGGGAAGCAGCCAGCAAGAGCAGAGCCTCAGGGTGGTTTCTTTTTCTTGTTAGTTTTATTCGTAGTACTGGGGATTGAACCCAAAGCTTTCACACTAAGCTACATCCCCAGCCTTTTTAAAGTTTCTGTTCTGAGATGAGGCCTTAGGGCTGGGGGTGTAGCTCAGGGACCGAGCACTCACTTAACATATGTGAGGCCCTGGGCTCCATTCCCAGTAGAGAGAGAGACAGAGAGATACAGAGAGAGCTACCTGACTAAATTGCCCAGGCTGGGCTTGGGTGTGGGATCTTTTGTTTTGTTTTTGTTTTTTGGGGGGGTCAAACTCAGGACCTTGCACTTGCAAGGCAGGCGTTGCACCAATGAGTGAAATCCCACCTTTCAAATCTTTTTATAGTTTACTTTTACATCTTTTGTTCATTTGTTTGTTTTGGTACCCAGGGATCGAACTTGGGTCCTTGAGCCTGCAAGGCGGGCGGCAGAACCACTGAGCTAAATCCCCGACCCTATTTTTACTCCTATTTTTTTCTCTTCCGCCCCCTCCCCCTCCTCCCCC